TCGTGTCTCAGACACGTTCTCTCCAGTATTTTGTGTTTACATGTCTCAGACACTCACGTTTACTCTTGTTGTGAGCGTTCTCGTGTCTCAGACACGTTCTCTCCAGTATTTTGTGTTTACATGTCTCAGACACTCACGTTTACTCTTGTTGTGAGCGTTCTCGTGTCTCAGACACGTTCTCTCCAGTATTTTGTGTTTACATGTCTCAGACACTCACGTTTACTCTTGTTGTGAGCGTTCTCGTGTCTCAGACACGTTCTCTCCAGTATTTTGTGTTTACATGTCTCAGACACTCACGTTTACTCTTGTTGTGAGCGTTCTCGTGTCTCAGACACGTTCTCTCCAGTATTTTGTGTTTACATGTCTCAGACACTCACGTTTACTCTTGTTGTGAGCGTTCTCGTGTCTCAGACACGTTCTCTCCAGTATTTCGTGTTTACATGTCTCAGACACTCACGTTTACTCTTGTTGTGAGCGTTCTCGTGTCTCAGACACTCACGTTCACTCTTGTTCTGTCCGTTCTCGTGTCTCAGACACGTTCTCTCCAGTATTGTGTGTTTACATGTCTCAAACTCCAGGAGGTTCAGCATTAATGATGTTTTTTTCGTGTGTTACATACTCACTTTTAGGAGATTTTAGTCTTGTGTATTCGACAATCTCACTCACTTTATAAGTTTAGTGTGTTATCATATATGTCATACACAAGATACCAATAATCACCCAGATAGCGTGTGTCTATGTCATCGACAAAAAAAGACATTTAAGTAACAATGCAAACAATGTACGTTACCATTCTGTCATGCAGCTTCATCTTGAACCTCCTGAAACAATGCCACTCTTGCTGTTGTTTTTCTTGGATAAGGTCCGCGTACTTCTCCTCAGCCTCGTACCCGAAAGAATGGAAGATCATTTCTGGGTCAAACAGGGCGGTGGTAGGGGCCTTGGCCGACAGGAGCGCCCCCACGTTGGATGACCATCTGTTACTGAATATCTCCCGGGCCCCAGCTGACTTTTCATATTCGCTCCTGAAGGTGTAAGCGTATCCGGAGTACGTTGTGCCGAAGTCTATGGCAGCCACGATCGGTTTGTCGGTTCCCGAGGGAAAGCATACAGGAGTCTGACCCTCAACCTCTTCCCTTGTTACATGTAGTTCATTGTCGTCTGGGAGGACAGTTTGTCCTCCTTTCCTCGGGGTGATCGGATGGGTAACGGTATCACCCGACATGTCATTGATACCCTTCGTTTTTCATATATGACAGTTTAACAACGTAAACAGTTCACCGGGAAGTAGTATACGATAAAAGGCGGGAAACATGTACCGACTTATCACAGTCATTTTCCAAAACTACTTTTAACCTTTAATAGAAATTCTTAAGTTATAAAAGCTTGCAATGAAGCATTTAAATATTTTTCAAAGCAAATTGTTTATTTCTATAGGCTTGTGGAGTAGTATTGTGCACATTCAAGTGTACACCATTCGTGACGAAACGATTGGTTTATAAAAAATCCATAAGCAATGTCACACAAGTTCATGTTTTTAATGTGTCGCGTATGTGCATTTATGTCATTACAGGTGTAATATTGCGTCGTGTATGTACGTCATTACATATGTTATATAGTGTCGTGTATGTACGTCATAACATGTGTTACATTGTGTCATGTATGTACGTCATAACAGGTGTTATATAGTGTCGTGTATGTACGTCATTACATGTGTTATATAGTGTCATGTATGTACGTCATAACAGGTGTTATATAGTGTCGTGTGTGTACGTCATTACATGTGTTATATAGTGTCGTGTATGTACGTCATAACAGGTGTTATTTAGTGTCGCGTACATGTATCAACTTTATTACAATTTTTAGTCGATAAAACGTCAGAATAATTCGTACTAGACTTGCTAAAGTACTGGTATGTTTATAGATTGGTAACCACGATTTGATATAGTACACACGTTCTGTTCGAAGGTCTTTATTACGCTGAACCCTGAAGTTCCTCACGGTTTGCAGTGATCGTTACACAGTACCCGTACACTTATTTATTGATAACACACCCGTTCCTGCCATGATCTCAACAATGCAGTGATTTTTAAAATGTTGAACTAAGCAGTGTAAATACTGGATACTACAATCTGTGTACGTCACGGAGTGATTTGCATGTTGACCTGCACTAATGCAAGTTTACCTGACAGGTACAGTATAAAGCATTTATCGCTGCATCATCCATTGTCAGCCATCTTCGTAATATTATCAACACAACTTCCGATTGTCCTTCAATTGTGTAAAGTACAGTATAAAAAATAAATAATTCCTATCCCTTTCCCCCACTAGAAACAAATTAATGTTCTCATCGTAGCTTAAGAACTATGTGTCGATTTAAGGACATCTTTACATAAATGTATTATTTTTCTTCCTAATCGAATGTGTCTTCAAACTATATTGTATATATTCTGCATGGTTTATTAACACATTGTATTCCGTGTACAATTACAGACCTATCCACCTTTAGTGTAGAAAGTATCATTGGAATCCTCCTAAAGAGAAAAAGACCACACACACTCAGTTGTGGTATAGAAAGGACGGAAGGCTTTCAAATTCTGAAAATGTCCCATTTTCTGGTTGACGTAGGCACCAAGACACTCCCATGTAAACAGGAAGTACGTACATGTAGTCCTACACCGAGACCCTGGTTAACAGGAAGTATATGTAGTCCTACACAAAGACCCTGATAAACAGGAAGTACATGTAGTCCTACACAAAGACCTTGGTAAACAAGAAGTACATGTAGTCCTACACCAAGACCTTGGTAAACAAGAAGTACCTGTAGTCCTACACCAAGTCCTTGGTAAACAAGAAGTACCTGTAGTCCTACACCAAGTCCTTGGTAAACAAGAAGTACATGTATTCCTACACCAAGACCCTTGTAAACAGGAAGTACATCCAGTCCTGCACCAAGACCTTGGTAAAACGGAAGTACATCTAGTCCTGCACCAAGACCTTGGTAAACAAGAAGTACGTGTAGTCCTACACCAAGACATTGGTAAACAGGAAGAACATCTAGTCCTGCACCAAGACCTTGGTAAAACGGAAGTACATCTAGTCCTACACCAAGACACTGGTAAACAAGAAGTACATGTATTCCTACACCAAGACCCTGCTAAACAGGAAGTACATGTCGTCCTACACAAAGACCTTGGTAAACAAGAAGTACCTGTAGTCCTACACCAAGACACTGGTAAACAAGAAGTACATGTAGTCCTACACCAAGACCTTGGTAAACAGGAAGTACATCTAGTCCTGCACCAAGACCCTGGTAAACAGGAAGTTTAGTCGTACACTGAGACACCCCCTGATAAACAGGAAGAAGTCATGCACTAAGACCCCCTCCCCCAGTTAGCAGGGAGTAGTCTTACAATGAAACAGTCTTGATATACAGGAAATAGTGCTTCACCAAACCTGGTTTACAGGAACTAGTCATTCACCGAGACGTCCAATCTCTAGTCAGATTTGTCGTTCTACCTCAGAGTTGCCATTCCTTACACTTACTAATAGTTGTAGTGAGTGTAAGGAATGGCAATTCTGAGGTATATTTTGCAAGACGTTCCCTGTTAAACAGGAAGTTGTAATGCACCGACACGCCCCCTGGTAAGCACAAAGTCCTACATCAATACTCTGGTACATGTCGAAAACGACCATTGTGTCAGCTTTGACAGATTAAGAACAGGTACAGTATATTGTAAATTACTGAACTGAATGGTAAGTAACATACTGGATCGAAACATGAAAATAATGGGAACAAGTTCACCGAGTACTATTCTTGGACTTGTGTCATAAGCTATGTCACTCACGACACAGAGGAATGTTGACACATTGATCACGTGGTCATTGATTCCTATCACATGCAAAACACGAGGAACATTAAAACACGAGGAACATTTAAACATACAGAATATAATCTACAAGTATCTAAACTGGCTTAATTATATGAATACGGATCAAAGCTCATTTTAACTGCATTCTTCCGTTTACTGTTACTACCGTGTAACTGGTGACATACATAGGACTTGTCTGGAGAGATCGTGACGAGAGTCACACCTCGTTTCTCCTCTGGTTCTTGTTCTTGTTGATGCTGTAATATATTTTCTGTCTTATTCACATGCTTATCTTTTGTTTTCCCTCATGTTAACGATTTACTATGTGCCTATAGTAAGCCATATACTTCGAAATGATTGGTTATACTATTATGTTGTCTTGAGTTTTAGTCCTATCAACAACTTAGGTAATTTAAGAACGTAATTCCATGTGTGTTATGTATGCGTGCCGGAGGCAGGGTATGTCGGTGTATTTGCCTCCTTGTGATAGCGCGTATCTGATGCCGACTTAAGAGTGCTACCGCACTGAAATGCAATGCCAAAAGCACCCAGCACAGCATTCCACCCGGTCACATTATGACAACGGGTGAACCAGTTATTGGCATTGACCATTTTGATGAAAGTTAAGCAGGGAATAACAATTACCATTTTTTAAGGAGTCTGGGGACAGAATCAATTGCCTCTCTTGGGCGAACCTTCAATATCAATGCCAAAAATGAGGTATTGCCAAGTTAGGCGCTTCGACATAAAAGGAAGTTAGAAGTAGAGAGAAATACAAAAATCCCAAATATTGCCATGAGTGCAGCAGATTTATTTTGTTCGCTTTCGTATCCCTCAGTAAAGGGCATTAAAGCAAATCTCCAATTCTGCAGGGGGTTCCAACATTAGTCGCCTCTTACAATACATGTCGTGATTAACTTTCTCGATCCCCGACCTGCAGGGATGTACTTCGAAAGGAAAACTTACATTTATTAGGCAGCGACCTGACATTCCAGTGCATCAAATATGTGCTGCCTTTTCTAAATGCGTGTAATCCAATGGCGAAGTCTCACTCATGTCCATGCTTAATTGTTACTAGGATTCAAGTTTCCATATAATAATTCAATAAACAATAAAACAAAACAACTATTCGTTTTTTCTATATCTTTATAAACAGAGGTAACAGACAGATATATTTGTTTTCTAAATTGACAAGGTAATGATATTGTTGTGGACGGATCTGATATCACAATCAAAGTATTTATTTAGTAGACATGAAGTAGGTTTTGTATGAAGTATATCACAGACGTTCACTTAAAATCACGAGAAACAAAAATACAAAATAATCTACAATATCTAAATTGGCTCATGTAAATATTACGTTCAATAATTATCACGGTATGTAAATAAATGTAAGCTATTAAATAACATTTTCAAAACAATAAAGTTCAAAATCGGTTCTACGACAAATCTTGCAGATCCGTTTTGTAAGATAAGTAGGGAAAGTGAGTGATAATATAACATGACACACTATGTAGACAGCATGATTCAGCATGAATATTGCATCGTCATTTCAGACAGTCAAAGCTGGCGTTATACTCCTGTCCACTGACGTCGTTTGTCACGACAACCTTAAACTCGGTCTGGCCAAAGAACATGTGAACAGTGTAGTGGACTTCCAGTGGCCATCCGTCCGCGGGGGGCTCCACCTGGACGCGGCCGAGGGCCACACAGGACCCTTCCGTTGTGTATATGGGGCAGACATTCTTTGAGGCAAACACCGGCACTTCCATTATCAGGTACCGTCTGTCTTCATCTCGATGAGTGGAGGAGTACGTGCGCTTACGCGTTTCGGACGTGCCTATGGCTTCCCCTTCCTTTACAAGGACACTGAACACGTTGACACAGCATGGTGAACCGTCAATCATCTCCTTGTACCTGGATTGATGATACCCTTCTCGGAAATCCTCGAAGACGTCGATTCCATAGGTGTGTCGGCAAACTCTAGAACTGATGACTAAAGGTTCGAACCCACACAACACGGCACCATACATGACAGCCACTTCTGCCTGGAGCGGAACTACCACCCGTTTGTCTGGGAATGCGTCCATAATGACACGGCTAACGTAACCGGAAGTAGAAAACCCACCAACCAATAAAATGAGATCAACATGACTTACTTCCGACAGAATCGACTGGATGTGTGTAACGATATCGTCTGTGGAAGGGCGGAAGAAATTCTTGAATTCGTCGTTTTCTATGCTCAGTTTATTGTATGATTGTATGTCCGTTACTTTTAAGTTACTCTCGGCGATAAGACGTTGGGGTATCTCTATCTTTATGTTGTAGTTGGTGTCATATTTCAGTTTCCTTTTCTGTGTTTCAAACTCACAGGATAACTTCATCCATTCACTCGCCCTCTCGATTCGGAATTGTTCGATGAAATCCTTGCCAAATTTTTTGACGACAAAATCGTAGAACGTGTCGTCGACAGAGGTTCCTCCCCAGGGTCCGCCGGACGCTTGTCGGACCTCCATCAGTCGGCCGTCCTCGGCCACCTCGTGTACCGTCGTGTCCACCGTACCACCTAGGGAGACAGAGAAAATTGCATCTGGTTATTCTGATTCACCAGTGGCGGATCCAGAGGGTTTTTTTGGGCTTCAGGAAACCCCCCCCACCCCGAGAATTTTCTTTAAAAATCATATATTTTCACCATTTTCCTCATTTTTTTCCAACATGGAAACCCCCCCCCAGGAAATTTGGAAACCCCCCCAGGTAGGTCTCTGGATCCGCCACTGTTCACTATACAACCAGATAATATATACTGTACAGTGTGTATATATTTTGTGTGCAATTATGCACGTCTTTCGTTGATTAAAGTATTCGTCAGAGAAACAACATAATAATGTCTTTAGAAGAAGTTTTTAACTTATTTAGGTCAGATATCAATTATTGTTTTTTTCTATTATACATATACTAATTACGTAATCAGGTACAGGAACTACAATAGTAAAACACAGAACATAAATAGCGTTTGTATATAATTACACTTGTACAACCGCTTCACTGTAAGTACCTCCCAGGTCGACAATCATGTATGATCCGCCCGGCCGGAAGGCGTCCGTCACCTCACGGTCTTGGGAGTCGACCAACGTGCCTTCTGGGAGGGAGCGACAATAGACCGCAGCAGCCTCCGGCTCAAGAGCAATCTGTAGGTCTGCTGTGGGGATTCCCGCCTAAGGTAGACAAAACAGAATAAACGCTAATAGTGAAACGTTCTCTGTTTTCATGTCAGTTTTCACCTGCCTTTTAGGCTGTCAATAAGCTTGGTGTTGGAATCTTTAATGTTAATGAAGAGGCGAAGACAACGCTTCTCTCTGACCTGTGTTCATTGGTACGTTTATTACATGTGTACATGTACATTACGTCAACAAACAATCTCAACTGTAATCCTTCTTATTGCATTTTGCTATGTTGCGTTTCCAAGCACGAACAAAAAAGCGGCATTCTGTTGAAATTGGATTCAGGTCAAATATTACAAAGATTAAAATGAATGATACAATGACTAACATTCCCATTTCACTATCATCTAGTGTGACTGTTTACCTCAGTTGCTGCCTCGCGCATGAACTGTTTAGCGGGCTCGGTCCAGATAGCCGGAATTGTGAGCACCCAGTGGATCATGTCCTTGTTCTTCATAGGATTCCGTTTCTCAATCGTAGCCACCACCTCATTGCGCAGATACCGGATGCTCTCAGCGAACACCTTTTTGGCGGGAAACAGGCGCCCAGCTTCATCCGTGATTTCTAACTCGCGTCTCAATATCTGTGTGTATAGATGTAATAATAACCAGTTTTACATTTTTTTATGTATGTTCAATACAAATAGTTATACATTAAATAACGATGAAAGAATGTTTTTTGTGACATAAATAAAAGTCGTTTGTATATAGCTAAAAGTTAAAGTTATTTGGAACACTGGGGATCTGTATTCCATCTCACCACAGGGGTTCGTTACAAATGTCTGAAATACACATATATTATACTGATATGAGTCACAACACACTACATGTGTGCTGTGACCCATATCAGAATAGCACATGTACATGTGTGCTGTGACCCATATCAGTATGGCATATGTACATGTGTGCTGTGACCCATATCAGTATGGCATATGTACATGAGTGCTTTGGCCAATATCAGTATAGCATATGTACATGTGTGCTGTGACCCATATCAGTATGGCATATGTACATGTGTGCTGTGACCCATATCAGTATAGCATATGTACATGTGTGCTGTGACCCATATCAGTATAGCATATGTACAT